ATATAAACGAATTTCTCGCAAAGCTCGCAGCACATTTCGACAGAAGATGATGTTAGCTTGTGCCTGAAACAACACACTGAATGGGAAATTTATTTGCAGTCGGGTTATTCGCGAAAGAGAAAATCGATGAAGAGAATCGATCAACAATGATAGGCCCTTTTCTCGTGTTGCGCGAGATATACGCTGTATATCATCACCTGGGGGGGGATGTGCTGTCAAATCAGCCTACTGATCATCTTGTATGAAACTGGTTCCAAACGTAAACAAACGCTGTAGGTTTCTTATGGCTTGTTTACGTTTGGAACCAGTTATGCGAGGTAGGCGACGATTGTTCGTATTTGACAGCCACCTCCCCCCCTTGATCATCACTGACAACCCCTTTAGGACATATATTTCGATTATCGTTGACGACAGGTAAATTTCCTTCGTTGTGGAAAGACGGGTATAGTAGAGAACTACTTCGGCCTAATCGCCCATTTTGACAGAAAACTTCAAATAAATCTATGATTTCAGAGTTAACTATGCGTTTGGTACGATACTTTAGGTAATAAGCTACCGAACGAAGTCAATGAGAACGCGTGGTATGAAGGTTTGCACCCATTATTCCCAAAAACAAAAAAAAAGCGCTCCGACCGAATCAATTTTTATCTTCATCCGATAGGCCGAAGTGAATTCATTGGCGTTTCAATGCGTTAGGCCGAGTTTAAAATCTGGAGGCCGAGTTTGGCATCAAGAAGCAGTGTTGGACTTTTGACAATATCTCAACGATTGGTTTCTCGTTTTCAAATCTTACGGTACGTACGGAAAGGTAAATAATGGAAGCCATCAGTAATAATAACATTCCGTTTGGTGCTAAACTGAACTAGATTAAGAAAGACTAAGTGCGGGTTATGCTTAATAGGCCGGTAGTTAACCCTATATTTCCCGTCCACAAGAAGGGTGATAGAGGAAATGCTGACAATTAGCTTTGACGGCACCGCCGAAAAATCGTCTCTTTTAGCAAAGTGAAAGGATAGTACGAAGTCCGCCATGTTTCACGCACAGTCTGACGTTTGGTTATGGATTTTAACATTGGAGTATAGAGCTACAGAGTCGCCGTCAACGCCAATTATCGTGGAATTTCAACGTTGAGTGCGGCTTCCAAATTGTTCGAATTGGTGGTCCCGGAATCAATCTATTTCCACGCGAAGCAATACATTAGCGAGGATCAGCCAAAGCGTTCAAGGACCACGAATCTCCTGTCAATCTCGTTGTTTATCATGGATGGGCTTACAGCTAGATCGCAAACTGATATACGGATTTATCGGCGGCTTTCGACAGAATCAACCACAATATTGCTGTGGCAATGTTGTAGAGGCTTGGCATCGGTGGTGCATGGGTTCCGATCGTATCTTTGTGGCAGAAGCATCAGAACCAAAATTGGTGACGAATTGTCAGTTCCGTTCCCCGCTCTGTCTGGTATTCTTCAAGGTAGCCATCTTGGTCCATTGATCTTCCTGTTGTATTTCAACGATCTGTTGCTGAAATCCCATCGTTTATCCTTTGCTGATGATCTCAAAATCTACACGCACGTGAAATCGTTACAAGATGCTATAGAGCTGCAAGTTGACCTGGAGACAATTCAAAGGTGGTGGTGAGATGAATTGCATGCCTTTAAATCCCAGTAAATATACTGTAGCAGCACATAGCAAATACAGCAGCAGCGGGCCTCCATCACGAGCCCATCCAGCAACAACGACAGCGAATCACATCCGGGTCGAGGCTACTCAACAGTAGCACCCTTCCAGTAACAACATCTGGGCCGATGCTACTCAACAGTAGCGCCCATCCAGCAACCACAGCTTCAATGGCATCCACAGTTAGGGCTCCCGTGTGCTTCGAGGCAACTTTCTTCTCAGGATCCCACTCAGGAGAAATAACTTTGCGGCGAATTGCGGGCTAATCACCCTCCAACGGACGTTCAACCAAGTCTCCTCAGTTTTTGATTTTGACATGTCACGGGACTCTCTTATAAGGCAATTTTTGTTAGCTTTAAGATAACTTTTTATTGTCCATACTAGTTTGTTGATAACATGCAATAAATAAATAAATAAAATAGTTTATAGTAAAATATCACACCATATTTAAAACAACTTAAATTGTAAACATAAAATCAGTTAAATTGGTTGAAAGACAGATATTTACGAGAAAAAAAGCTGATTTTCAGTAATTTATGTAATAAAAACCATTATCTAATTACCTAACTTCGTCGAAAAAAAAATACTGTAAAGTACGTCGTCATGCTAATACAGTCTATTCAGTTATTTTACAGCTCGCAATGTTATGCTCACTGATGGGACTGATTGTTAAGGTTTAAACGTCTGGGTTGATTTCGGATGACCGTAACTAGTCTTAAAGAGGTGATTCTAGGATGGTAGTTGAAACAAGAGTGACGACTCATTAGAATGGTGAAAAATGAAACCTTACAGATGAAACAGATCTCTTCATGTTACTGTTTCTATCTCTGTCTTTACAAAATCAGAATTCAGAACTGTCATTCGACAGTATACTTAAGCAAGTGTGGCTTGACCAGCATTGCCAGATTGTTTTCAGGCTTATCGGTATCGAAGGTTTAAAAAATCGGTATTTATCGGTGCATGCTATTTTTATTAATGTTATATTTTTGCCATTTTCGAAGGCAAAAATTTAAACGTTTGGACTAAGAAGTAAGGGGTATGATTAAGATTTTCGAGGCTAAAAAATATTTATTTTCTAAGGATATGCATTCCTCACAATCGCACACAAGTATTTGCACGATCTTGCAAAAGCTTGTAGACGCTTGTGATGGATACATACACTTTCTAAAGGGATATTTCGTATGGGAGTGGCTTGACCTGTTTTGTTTAGCTTGGACTCTAAGAGTCATACCCCTATTTGAAACCGACCTTTCCAGGAAAGTCGGAAGAAATTTCCGGGAAATGTTAGAATTAGCTTCTGAAGGAAGCTGAAAAAACTTCCAGAGAAAGAAGAAAGAAGATATTGTGTAAAATTTAAAGAAACTTTTAGAAAAAAAATCGGATGACATATCCAGAGGAAGCCAGAAAGAAATGAAAGAAATTTCCGGTGAAAACCGGTAGTTAGCACAATATTCTGGTCTGGAAATTGAAAAAAAAAACTGAAAGGAGAAAACGGAAGAACCTTTCGAGTGAAGCCAGAAGAAGCTCCCGAGGAAAATTGAAATAACTGACTGGGAAGAATTGAAAACTAACTTATGGACTAAGGTAGGAGAAAATTCTAAGGAAAGATTAAATAAACTTCAGAAAGTTAAAAAAAAAATAACATTCTGATGGACCTGTTTTGGTGACATAAAAGTATTTCCCGATTCCCAGGAATTACCGAGATGAGCCATTAGCTCGATTTCTGGGAAGCCAAAAACGGCGAGAAAATGGAAACACTAGCCGAAAAAGTATGAAGCATAAGCAAGCATGCATTAAGTACGTCACGTCATTTTAGGGAAACTCAACCCCTCCCCATCACCGCTTTTGTCACGGTTTTCCTATACCTAATGCATTCCCAACAAAAAATTTGATCTGATTAAAAGCTGAATAAGCTACTTTTTAGCTGAAGCTACATATTTTTGCCTTATTTAGTTTTCAATGTTAGTTGGGTTGCTTGTAACATATTTGTAAACCCCCTCTTCTCCTTAAAGCGTGACGGACCTAATGGATACTCTCTAAGAAATTTTGTTAGATGAATTATTTTTTGAACATATCCAGAACGATTAAAGTCCCTCACAATAGTTTTCTCTGACATTTGAACGCAGGCAGGCATTAATAATTGTGATTTTTAAAAAAATCTGTATAAATCAGTATGATATCTAAAAAATCGGTATTCTGAGGAGCCGTATCTGTATATCGGAATCAAGTTCGAAAATCGGTACAAATACCGATAAATCGGTATACCTGGCAACGCTGGGCTTGACTACCGATTGCTCAACATCTGTTGAACTTACCGACACATTCACCGAGCGCGCAGCTGCTCTAATCTCGTCAAAAAGTATACTGAGTTCGGTAAAAAAAAGCTAGTGTTTAGCGATATTATGTAGAAATAATACTCCGAAAAAGTGCATAATTATTGATCGTTCCACCCATACGATTGAAGGCGGCTCTCCAGCTGGTGGTGAGTGCTGTCAGAAGCAGAACGAAGCACCCCCATTGATTGAGGGGTTCAATTTCCCTATCTGCGCGCGTTAGACATAACATCGCATGCTATGTTTAAAAAATATCAATTGTGTAATTTTAAACTTGATTCGAGACACTCATAGCAATTTTGTTTTTGATTCAGTTCCAACCTGGATCGGGTATCAAGATTGGATCAGCTTGTTGTCTGTCAACGTCAGTGTGAACGTTTTTTTGTAACCTAGAACTTCCAACCTGGATAATAAACAAATTCGCTATCAGTCTGCATTAAGTTTATCCGAGCCTGTATGAAGTTCGTGATCAAGGACGTAGCCAGGTTTAGAAATAGTTGGACGAGGGGGTTGTGAAGTTGTGTCTTTAGATCGAATGTAATTGGGCCAATTTCTAATAAGCCGAATGGCATTAGGTTGAAATTTGAATGGCTATTCCTATCTTCTATGTAAAACGGCATCAGTCCAGCCAGCATTGTTCCTAATTGAAAAAGACCATGCAGCAATAAAAAAAGGCAAATCAATGTCGAGGCAAAAATAATCCACAATTATTTGCAGTTTTAGCAGTTTAAAATAACACTTCCCACCACTCGAAATTGACCACGTAGCAATATAAACTTCGAGAAAAGAGGATTTTTCGCATGCTAGGATTAAACAATCTCAAAAAGTCTTATTTTACTCTGGTAGAAGGTCTTCACAAAACTGCTCGACTAAGCTAAAAAAAAACCTGCTCACATTTCAAATAACAGCTCAATCATTACCAACCAGCTTTGCTTTCCTAGTCATAACTTTATTAACGCATCTCTTTTCAAATTTTCTTTCCTATTTTTAGAATTGATGATCCCACCACTTGCTGGCGAACTGACTGGAGTACCTACAATTGAACCGTAGTGTATGGAGGACAACGCGGATTCGAAGTGCATGCGAAATGTGAGACGATTATTGATCAACAAACATTAGATCCCAAACTGTTGCTGTGTGGAAGAATCTTCGTTGAAAAAAAAACGGTGTAAATTGGAACATGTGCTAGTGGCGGAAATTTGATTGATGAAATCGATTCTCGCATGGTGTTTTATGTTCGTTTGAATGTCTTGAAAAGTTCGTGATCGGTGTACGTTAGAAGCAATACGCTGACTGGTGAACGTATATGTGGGAAGTTCGGGTTGAAGGTGAAAAAAAGAGCGGAACGTTTAGGCGGTTTCGCTAGTGCAAACAGGAAGTTAATGTTTTGTTAGTTGTTGATGGTCGGTATTTGAAGGCGCGTGCTAAAATCAGGAAACATGGCCGCAAACGATAATCAGAACCTGCTGGATCCCAGGAAGAACGGGTCCATCAGTATTGTTGGAGGCAGAGGTGAGTCAATTTTGACGTCAGTCGTATGTAAACTATCAGTTTTAACAAAATGTAAATTGAAATAAGAAAACGTTTGGTTGGCTTATAGCTGTGTAATATCCGGAATAAGAACTGTTGAATATTATTGCATCCCGCTGACGACGCCCATGCACATAGTATATAGTGAGGTGTAATCTGCGATAGTCCATAATGTTGGATACGGGAAGCACCGAAATGGTAGCAATTTCCCGTTAGGTATATAGCACTAGCCCTCGTTTCACACAGCACTATCTGTAGAAGAGTGAGCGGTGCTTATGGATATGTCACGCCGCCATGGTGAAAAGGAAACCGAAAGTAGCTCTATTGATGACCTGATGCTACCGGTGCTGACATGCACGTGTCTCAATACTGTGCGGATGGGAATAAATAAATGTTTAGTTCATGCTAATTTGATTTTTGTTCTTAAACCCAAACTGATATAACTTTTGTTGCCAGGTAATTTTAAAACTAAAAATAGGATTTGCGTTGTGTTCAACAACCCACTCGTATGTTAATAGATATGTGTCAAATGCGTGAAGTTTACCGGCAACACACTTCACTAATGAGTTTTTAAAGATTTCATTACGCTCAATTAAGATTTGATATGTTATGCAAACAGTTCCTCTCTTTGACCGTAACTACTTGGACACATTGTTGAAGTATTCTAAGAACCTTCCCGGTTTTGGCATAATTACTCTATCAGTTATTTATTTCTCTAGTTTTAAATCATTGCTTTCTTGTTCATTTTTAATACACTACCAGTCATCTCAAATCCATGAAACGCATTCTAACAAAGTCTCAAACGGAATGCTGTGTTCGATGATTGTTCAGAAAGTAAAGAAACCGCCAAAACCGAAAAGGCACTGTATGTTGTGACGTTGAGTGAGAACAGCCAAAATCACGTTATCACTATCAGCGTGTCGACCAGGAAGACGTGGGCGAAGAGCAGCTCTGCCGGTAAAGAGAAACAGGTTGATAAAAATACACGACCTCTTTTGGAAGGCTTGGTGTCTCATAATATGATTCATCAATCATGGTTGACAACTGTAATGGCTTAAACATGTAAAAAGAGTATGAAAACGTGTTATTCGTGTAAAATAGGATTGGTTACCTAGCGAAGCTAATAAATTGTTGATTTAAAATAGATTGCAAATTAAATGCCGCCAAATTGGGTTAGCGTCATCCGAGATAATGATTATGTATATTAATTATGATTATTGTGGTAGTTCAAATTGTCAATCCCCAATAATTATTGTGGTAGTTCAAATTGCACTTACCAATCCAATACAGTTTTTGAAAAAAAATAGCTATGTTGGTTGCAAGTTTCCAACCTGAAACTGCATTTCCAACAAACAACAGCCATTTTGTAGTCGAAGAAGTATATTTTTGCCTGAATAAGCTCTTATTCTGCTTCCAATGTTTGATGGGTTGGTTCTTTGAAAAGGAATGATATATATAGACCATTGTTTCAACAGTTGAGTGCTGCTGTCTGTGCTATAGGTGTTTGTGCTCTTAAAATGATTATAATTACAGCTGTGCTGCTGGAAGCAATCAACTAGTGGCAAATTTTCAAAAGTATCATAATCGCTTAGATTACAACCTGAAAACGAACAAAAATATCGTTCTTTAGTTTTTAATTCTAACACCTTGTAAACAAGCTCTCTGATCTGAGGATGAGCATGAAAACGATCAACCACCAATGACCCGCATAGAAAATAACAATTTCTAGAACAGTTCAACCTTTACCTACACTTTACCAGTTATGTTAACCTTATAAAGGTTCTGCTATTGTTTATGGAATGTGGGAAGCGTGATTACCTCTCACCCCAGCAGGCCTGGGTTCAATCCCAGTCGGCGCCGCCGGGATGTTCTGAGGCATAATATCTCTGATCACGCCTTCCTTCGGAAGGGAAGTAAAGCCGTTGGTCCCCGGTTCATGAGTTGATGGGTCCAGGTGTGGGAGCTGCCTCCCTGGCGTCGGTAGCATTGGTGCTCATCAATGAAAACAAGATCGACGGAAAACAAATCAAGGAAAAAAACAAGAAAGAATCACCTGGTAACAAAAAGTGTAATTTCGTACATTCTGTGTCACATTATTGTTATCCAAGTAGTTCAGGACGTAGATGCTTGTTCACATTAACGGCTACATGTAATTGTTTTGCTCAAGTCCGTTACAAATTTAGTTAATATAAAATTCTACACATGTTCGTCACTGACAGCATTGTCATTGACAATTGACATGGTTTGCCTTGACTATGACTGTTAGCTCAAATGAGTGACCAAAGCAGAATTGTCAATATCACCGTGTATTGTCGAAATTTTGTAGCACTGGTTGTCATAATTAATTTGAAGTGGTGGACATCGAAGGTCAAAGTGTGCTCCTCCGGAAGATCCGAAGTAACCGTAAAAATGGTCAATGCATGAAGCTGGTCCTAGAGATTCGCGGTTTTTTCTTCTTTAAAAGCACATGTAGATGTGTTGTAAGAATGCATTTAGAGTCGTCCGGAGGCGAACCAGTCTCAGGCTGAAAGCCTCCATAATAAAGAAAACCTTGCCATTTAGAGCCGTGACCGGAACAAGGACGTTGAGGCCATAGTGTGACCTTCCGGAAGAACCGGAAATGTGGCCAATTCATAAAACTGGGGTTCGCAGTTTTTTCGAAAGCACTTATTGATGTGAATTTCAAATTGTGACCGGGCAATAGACCTTGATGACTACAGTTTGTTCTTCCGGGATATTTGGAACGAACGTAGAAATGGTATGTTCATTAGTGTATTCACTAATTAGATACTTAATGACGACCATATTAACCTCGCTGCCAGGAACTTTCCAGTGCTGTGTCTCACATCGTATATAACCGAAAGCATGTCGGATCGGGTTCAAACGGACGTTATTTATTCAGACCTATCCGCAGCATTCGACAAGTTGAACCATGCTATTGGGATTGCTAAACTCGGCAGGCTAGGTGTATGCGGTAATCTTCTGAGTTGGATTCGATCATATCTTACCGGTCGGCAACTAAAGGTTGCCATAGGAGATTGCAGATCAGCTAGCTTCTTCGCCACATCAGGTATACCTCAGGGAAGTCACATGGGATCGTTATTTTTTATACTGTACTTCAACGACGTGCATCTGGTCATCGAAGCTCCTCGGTTATCATATGCAGATGACCTCAAAATCTTCCTACGAATCTGCTCCATTGCTGACTGTCACTTTCTTCAACGTCAACTGAACATATTCGCAATTGGTGCAGGTTAAACATAATGGTAGTGAACCCAGCCAAATGCTCCGCTATTACGTTCTCACGAAAACATCAACCGATAATATTTAGCTATGACCTGCTTGGCTCGACAATCGAACGCGTGAGTCAGGTGAAAGACTTGGGTGTGATCTTGGATTCGCAGCTTTCATTCAAGCAACACATTTCATATGTTGTTGATAAGGCGTCAAGAACTTTAGGGTTCATTTTTAGGATAACTAAAAACTCCACTGATATCTACTGTCTAAAATCTCTCTTTTGTTCGCTTGTTCGATCGACGCTTGAGTATTGTTCAGCGGTTTGGAACCCAAACTACATCAACGGTGCCGAGAGAATCGTATCTGTTCAACGTCGCTTTCTTCGTTTTGCGTTGCGTAGATTGCCTTGGAATGATCCGTTTCAATTATCCAGTTACGAAAGCCGTTGTCAACTTATCGACCTAGAACTTCTCCGGACTAGAAGAGACACAAGCAGAGCCCTAACCGTGGCCGATATCCTGCAAGGAAGGACAGATTGCGAGGCTATCCTGAGGCAAATTGACCTGAATGTTCAACCCTCACCGCTTCGTAATAACCTTATGCTAAGACTGCCTCTACGTCGTACAAATTATGCAGCACACGGTGCGATTTGCAGACTGCAGAGAACATTCAACAGAGTTGCATATGTTTTAGACTTTCATCTCTCCCGTGATGCGCTTCGTCGAAAGTTTTCTTCTGTTTTTCGCCCGCAGGAGTAGCTGACTATAAGATATATGTTTTTCAATGTTTTTTACCCTTCTTACAAAGAAGGGTATAGATATCACTTTAAAAACCGACTATCGATCCGAGGCCCGGAGGGCCGAGTGTCATATACCATTCGACTCAGCTCGACGAGATCGGAACATGTCTCTGTGTGTGTGTGTACGTGTGTATGTGTGTATGTGTGTGTGTATGTAACGAAATGAATGCGCTCACGTTTCTCAGCAACCGCTCAACCGATTTGGACAAACTCGGCGCCAAATGATAGGTCTTGGGGTCCCATTGAACGCTATTGAACGGTTCTGGAATCAGTGAACCGGTTCCAGAGATATGGCCGGAATAAGATCCGGTGAATATGGGCCTTCACGCTGGATTTAACGGAAAACGTATTAAAACCATCATGCGACACATCAAATTACTACAGAATTCAAAATAAGATCAATGCAAGTCGTGTTAAGTGTTCCAGACCACATTGGACACACTTGGACTTGTTCCGGGTACCCCGGGGAAGTTGCTTGAATATGAATTGAATTAAAACCCATTAAATCACATTAAAATACGATGATAAGGTGATTGGTAGCCTCACCAAATAGACTACACCCGGATATATTCCGGGTACCCCCAGGCAGTGGCGTAGCGTCACTGGATGACACGGGGTTGGGGGGCTTGGTCACTGATAATGACAATACAATAAATAACCTTGAATAAGTAAGAAGGGTCTGATCACACCATAGGTGGATAAATTCGGGTTTTATGGTGTAGAATGCTCGTGTGGGAAGTTGGTTGAGGTTGAGAAATATAAGCAATTATTGGAGTCCCTGCAGAAGGAGAAGGATGCTTTGCTGTTGAGAAATGCACAACTGGAAGCCCAGAACGCAAAGCTGCTGGATTCTTTGACTTCGAAACTTCTGCCAACACCTGAGAAGCCATTCAAGGAAGATGAAGGATTCCTAGATTGTGAAACGCTACAGCGGTTGTCTCACGAAGCAGGCGACAAAGATTATTTGTTTGTGAAGTTTCTGATAATGCAGCTTTTCCCAGTCTGTCCAGCTGATAATGCACATGATACAGGTGATGGTGAAGCAACGGGTGACGAAACTGAAGGAGAAACTGCAAAAGTGCCGTTGGACCCAGTAAGAGTGCGATGGATAAAAAGTATGAATACATGATGCATGTTCAGATTGTTGTAACTAATTTGATTTAATTCTTACAGGACGCCATTACGATCGTCGTATTTTTCTTCGTGATGACTCTGCTACTGCAAATACGTGCTACAAAAATGCAGGACGTCTGATGACACGAGTGATTGCCAATGCTTCGCGATAAGTACATAGCAAGGCGTTTCATGGTTTATTTTTATTTTGTTTTTTTTTTTTATGGGAACAATTTTAACTTGCTACAATCAGTTTTATCACAGAGCAACGTCAAATCAAATTGAAAAAGTCGTAGCATTTTTCCATTTGTTACTTAATTTTTTGAAGATCTGAATGTATCATTCGAGTTGTTAGATTTGTTTTGACGTTGGATAACGTCTTTCGGCAACATACGGGAGTACAAAATTGAAAACAGTCATTTTGGATGCGTTACGAAAAATTAAAAGATTTTGAACGATAATCACTCAACCGTCTCTCGATAGATTTACGAGATAATGGCATCAATCGATTGGAAATATTTCTAGCAATTTGCTGAATGTTTCAAAACTATTGATTTCATTCTGTAAACTATTGAAAAATGGTTAAAAGTAAACCATTGTCTAAAGATGGTGAAAATCGATTGATTTTTTATATTCTTATACTTTCTCCAACCGAGACATCAGATGCGAGTATCTGACACCTCTGATATTTTCTGTTCTACTATATAAGCGTTCAACAAGGTCGCCCGTTCCATCATTGTCTATCCGATCGTCGACCCAGCAGCAGAGCAGCAGTACCAGAGCAGCGGAAGCAGAGCAACGGCAGCAGAGCAGCGGCAGCAGAGCCTGGGGGCGAAAGGGCAACTACGCCGAGTGCGTTGGTGCCAGTGCTCCGGTATACTGGGCCGCCGTCATGGAATGCCCAGCTGCTGCAGTTCTCAGTCGGTCGTATTCACCGTCTGCTCCGCAAGGGCAACTACACCGAGCACGTTGAAAAATGGGCCTTTTCAGGGCCACAACATTATCAAGAAAGAGTTTAACGTACGTATGCGAGTATCTGACACCTCTGATATTTTCTGTTCTACTATATAAGCGTCCAACAAGGTCGCCCGTTCCATCATTGCCAACAACATCAGCCCAACAAAACGGCCCTTTTCAGGGCCACCAAACTTTCGCAAAAGAGTTATTAAGGAATATTCCTAAAATATAATATACAAAATTAAGTACAACACATAACATACGTTATCCAACGCCAACCCTGCGGTCGTATCTAGTATACAACCCTTCCAACTTTTTTTGTAAAGACATCTTTGAAAGACCAATAAAGTAATGAAAACTAACAATCAAATGTTATTTCAATAAACTGAAATTTAAAATAGGTCGAAATCATTAGGTATGAATTATGGCTAAAAAACAGCATGATAACTCATTTTGTAATCTTATACCTGTTATCAATGTTCAGCAATGATATCTGGTTCATAGTTTAATGAGTTATTATTATAATACATTAACGTTAAAAGGATTAGCTATCAAGCTGTTTGTTATGATAGCACAATCAGTTTTTTCAATGTTATCTATGGATCAAATTTTAGTTATCAATTATGTTATGTTGCCTGTTTATTCAACCAAACTGGAAACAAACCTAGTTATCAATGAATTGATAACCAGGTGACAAAACGTGTTATCAATATGTTAGCAAACTTTGCTCGGGTTAACCCAGCCGAATGCTCCGCTATTACGTTCTCACGAAAACATTAACCGATAATATTTAGCTATGACCTGCTTGGCTCGACAATCGAACGCGTGAGTCAGGTGAAAGACTTGGGTGTGATCTTGGATTCGCAGCTTTCATTCAAGCAACACATTTCATATGTTGTTGATAAGGCGTCAAGAACTTTAGGGTTCATTTTAAGGATAACTAAAAACTTCACTGATATCTACTTGAGCTTGAGCTTGAGCTTGATTGACCGCCCACGGTTGCTACTCTGTTACTGCCAGATCAGCTGTAATTACACAGAGAACCAATAGACGATGCTTGGGACTAGCAATCATCCTCAATGTGTAAAAACTGGTGATCTTAAATTAGGCAATACCAGCGCCGGCCGCGCCCGAACACAGGTCAAGAAAGGAATGGGAAGGATTGTGTTGACATGACACTCGCTTTGATGGAAGCCGAGAACACCTCTGCACTTCCACGAGGAATCACTGGGATGTTGGATAAGAGGGTTGGGTTTGCAGCAGGGGTCGTTTTGGTAAACGATAAGCTGAATTGATGTCCTAACGATCATATAACGCGAAGGAGCTTGGGACTAAACCCACGGTCTTCTGCTCAGTAAGCAAAAACGTTTGCTACTAGGCAGACGAGCACCTTTTTAATCACCGAGTTGCTGTTATTACCATGTAGTCATATTAACAAATAAAACGATTGACGAATCTTGAATGTGGATGGGCCTGAGATTAGACTCATGATGTTCTGCTCAGTAAGCAAAAACGGTTGCTCTAAGGCCACCGAGCCCCTCATATGACATAATACCGTTGCTCAAATTTGTGTATCCATTCAAACCCGGAACCAACGACAACAACGAGTTTCGCAAAATACACGATACACAAGCGATTTTACCATAAATCTCTTTGATATGTAAGAACCTGGGACCGCGTTTTCTGCTCAGTAAAAGCAGGCCACTGTAACCGACGATCTTTCAAATTCGAAAACTAAAAACTACGAAAAAATACTTAGGCCTTCATTAAGTTCCACTTTCACGCGACGTTCAATGATAGGGTCCTATCCAGGATTACATCTGAAAAATCCAAATCTGGCCAACGCCCACCCTAAACCTAAACCTGTTCTAATCCACCTGAAATGACTAACGAATGGAAGACTTTGACTACCCAGTCATGCAATAGTCTCATTCCGTGCCTTATGGCAACTTGATGATTCTATTGCGCTCATCTTTTGGCACCACCCAGGGGAGACTTGGTCCTGTACCCAATGCTTAACTTATCTCCATTCCACTCAGCTACTCGCAATTTCTTGTGATATAGTGGGCGGAATATTATTATATGAGACAATTCAATGCAGACGTCTTTCCAAATTTGGCAGATCGACAGGTAATCGGTGAGTTACCACGATAGTTGCTATTCAACAACTCGACAACGTCCCATCGTCAACGCCTGCTATGAGAATTTCCCATTGCAGACGCCAACGAAATGACGTCATCGAGCTATCGATCAACTACCCTGGTTATCGCCTGGTACCTTATAGCACGATGCTAGGAGGTGAACCGGAAGAATCGATGAGCTACCTCTCCCCCCTAAAAACTTCACTGATATCTACTGTCTAAAATCTCTCTAGTGTTCGCTTGTTCGATCGACGCTTGAGTATTGTTCAGCGGTTTGGAAGTACTAGCGTGCACAGGAATCTTGTTAAGGAGGGGCAATTTTTTTCTATGGTTCATTTAATCTAGGGATGGGGAGTACTCTAAAGTGCGTGGGAGAGGGTGCTGTCCACCCACCACTGTTTCTCTACTGTTTAATTTAGCTAATTTTATTTATTTTTTGCTCCGGTGGTGGTTCATCTTCTTCAATGCAAACTGCGAAAATTGGCAATTTAATCGCATCGACGATGATGAACCGTCCCAAAGTACCGTCAGTCGGGTGACAGAAAATGATGCCGAACATTCAACATGTTTTAAAGATGATATAAAAGACAAACCCAAATTTATTGCAACGGACATAAACAGCTGTAATTTTTTAACCACGGTAACAAATGAATTGAAATTTTCAGAAAAGATTCTTAGACGAATTTTTAGTAAGACAACAATAGACCAAGGTTCAATGGCAAACTAATACCCACTTTTCAATTAGGGAATCTAAAAGCTGTCTTTAAACTTTGAACAGTTGCAAAAAAGTCCATCCTCAGAATTCCTTGAGGTTCTTTTCGAAATTTTTAGAACTCTATGAGCTTTTTTGAAATTCTTCTCAGAAGTCCTCTGGAATTATTTTTAGATTTTTTCTTGACTTTTACTCAGAACACCTTAAAACTGAAATACCCTTAGAGTTTCAGAAGAATTTTCTCAAAAAAATGTTCCTGGAATGAGCTAGAAATTATCGGTACTCCCTTGAAATTGTCCTCAAAATCCCTTTGGAATTTCACTCAAAATTTAATTTTCTCGCTATTCTTTTCGGAATTATCTAGGAACTATCTGCAGGATTCGTTAGAAATTACACGCAGAATTTTCTTGGAATACTCTCTAGAAATCCTTTGGAACTGTCCTCAGAATTCAATATCCTTGAGGTTCTTCTCGGATTTTTTAGAACTCTCCTAAGAGCTCTTTTGAAATTCTTCTCAGAGGTCCACTGGAATTATATTTAGAACTCTTCGTGATTTTTTCTCAGAAGACATTGGAATTCACTTGAAATTTTGCTTATAATCCCTTAGAAATTACACTCAAAATTGGATTTTCACGGTATTCTTTTCGAAATTGTCTAGGAACTATCTGCAAAATGCAGTAAAAATTATCTGCAGAATTTTCTTTGAATTCTCCCCAGAAATATGTTAGAACTGTCATAAGAATTCAATATCCTTGAGGTTCTTCTCGGAATATTTTAGAACTTTTTTTTTTCTCAACACCCAGAATGAGCTTGAAATTATCTTCGGAACTCCCTTGAATTTTTTCTCAACATCCCTCTGGAATTTCATTCAAAATTTGATTCTCACGGTATTATTTTCGAAGTTATCTCGGAACTATCTGCAGAATTCACTAGAAATTATTTGCAGAATTTTCATGGAATCATCCCAGAAATCTTTTCTTTTCGAACTGTCCTCAGAATTCAATACCCTTGAGGTTCTTCTCGGAAATCTAGTTTAAGTTGTCCGCCAACTCACTAAATCAATCGTTGTAGTTTTTCTACCATAAATGTTCAATAAAGCTTGCCTCTCCATTCATCAGAACTGTTCAATTTTTACATCAGGCCTCTCCATGAAGCAGATTGTTGCAAATCTTACACCAGAAAATTTCAGTTGATCAGAACGATGCAAATTTACCACCGTTAATGTTCAATAAAAATTGCTTCTCCAATCTTCTGATTGGTGCAGATTTCCTTTTTCCATTTTCTACTAGACATTTTCAATATAGCTTGCTTCTCCTATCATCAGAATGTTGCACGTTTTCCACCAAATAAAGCTTGCCCCTAT